ATAAAAGGTTACCAGGATAAGATGGATCTTTGAGAATATTTTGAACTTTCTTAAGGTAGCGGGAGCTATAAAGCTCTTCCAGAGAGGGGAGAGGGCAACCAATGATCTTCTGGGCAATGACATTAACCCTCTGGAGTGCTTTTCTATCTGCCACTGTGCAATTGGCAAACCATACAGAGATGCAGTATGTTAAAATGCTCTCTATAGTGCAGCGGTAGAAGGTCACCAGCAGTTTTTCATTCAGTTGTTTTCTGAGAAGTCTCAGGTAGTATAATCGCTGCTGGGCCCTTTTGACCAGGGCTGCAATGTGGGCACCCCAGGTCAGATCCTCTTTTAGAGTAACATCCAGAAACTTAAAACTGGCCACTTGCTCCACTCAGTCTCCATCGATAAGCAAGGGCTGGATGTCTGATCTGTTCCTTCTATAATCCACTATAAGCTCCTTGGTCTTATTGGTATTGAGGACCAAGTTATTGTCTCCACACCACGAAAGCAACCGGTCTACCTCATCTCGGTAGGCAGACTCATCCCCCTGGGAGATAAGTCCCACCACTGTTGTATCATCTGCAAATTTAGCAATAGTATTACTAGAGTGGGTGGGAATGCAGTCATGCACATAAGGAGTACAGAGTAAGGGACTCAATACACAACCCTGTGGTGTACCAGTGTTAAGAATAAGAGCTGAAGAGGTATGATTACCTAATCTGACCCTCTGTGAGTGGCCAGATAGGAAATCCATAATCCAAAGGCAGATTGAATAAGAAAGGCCATGTCCAGAAGTTTAGACACTAATCTATGTGGAAGAATTGTGTTAAAACTCAGAACTAAAATCCACAAAAAGAATCCTCACATAGCCCCTCCCCCCCACTGTTCTAGATGAGTCAGAGCAGTGTGAAGAGTGATGGCTATAGCATCCCCTGTATGCAAACTGGTGTTTATCAAATGCATGCAGAAAACCAGAAATGATGTGCCGGCAGACCAATTTCTCAAAGCATGATGATAGGAGTGAGTGCCACTGGTCTGTAATCATTGAGGTTATTGATAGGGAACTTCTTTGGCAGCTGAACAATGGTGGAAGCCTTCAAACAAGATGGAATAGTGGACTGGGATAAAGACTGATTGAAGATCTTGATAAAGACTCCAGACAACTGATCAGCACAGTCTTTAAGCACTCAGCCAGAAATACCATCAAGACCGGCAGCCTTTCTAGGGTCCACAGCCCTCAGAATGTTCCTCACCTCCTGTTCCTCCACAATGAGGTGGGGGCTACAATTGGCTGGAAGTTGTATTTTATCTGTCTCTGATGTCTCCACTTCAAAGCGAGCAAAGAAATGATTCAGTTCCTCTGCCAATGAAGCATCCCCCTCAGCAGGGATGACATTGGTCAGTTGATGGTTTGTAATTTGTTGAATCCCTCGCCACACCTGCCTAATGTTATTGCTATAAAAATTATCCTCAATCTTCCTCTTATACTCAGTCTTGGCCTTCCGAATACCTTTCTTCCGATTAGCTCTGGCAACACTGTATCTTGCCCCATCACTGGACCTAAAGGCCTTGGTCCTGTCACGGAAGAGGCGCTGGACTTCCTTGGTCATGCAGGGTTTCTGACTGAGATAGATCCTAATATGTTTATCCACAGTGATAGTATCTGTGCAGTGTTTGATATAGCACAGAACCGTTGCAGTGTGTACCTCTAGGTCAGGGTGGTAAAAGATGTCCCAATTTGTGTTTTCAAAACAATCCTGAAGTTGTTGGGAAGCATCTTCTGGCCAAGATTTCTCTGTCTTTATTATAGGCAGAGTCCGTCTCCTAAGAGGGATGTATGCTGGTGCTAAAAGCAGTGACATATGGTCTGATTGTCCCAAATGTAATTGTATAACCTTATAGCCATGTTTGATGTTGGTATATACTTTGTCCAATATGTTTGCTCCTCCAGTAGCACGCTTAACATGCTGATAGAATTTAGGGAGCACTTCTTTTAACTCAGCTTGATTAAAGTCCCCCGCTATGATATTCACAGCATCAGGATACTTATTCTGCTGATTACTAACAATGTTATACAAGAATCCCAAAGCTATGGTAGTGTTGGCATTAGGTGAGACATGGACTGCAGTAATCAAAACCACGCTGAATTCCCGTGAAAGATATATGGGTCTACATTTAAGAGTCATATACTCCAGATCCATGGAGCAGTGGCTGTCTACAGTATTTGTACTGATACACCAGCTTTTGTTCACATAAAGGCTTAAAAGCCCCCACTTTGCTCTTGCCAGAATCTCTACACCTGTCCTGCCAGTGAGCTATGTAGCCTTCCAGCTCAACAGCTGCATCTGGAATGAATGAAGCCAAGTTTCTGTGATTAGCAAAACAGAGCAGTTCTTGATGAATTTCGACTTTGCAATCTGTAGCCTGAATTCATCCATTTTGTTAGTCAGAGATCTTGCATTGGTAAGAAATATACTTGGAATTGAAGGCCTGTGTGGAAACTTACTCAGCCTAAAGAAAATCCCAACACGGCATCCTCTCTTCCTCTTCCTGTTCTTCCTCCACCTTCCTACAGGGATAGTGATCCATGGCTCCCCCAGGGGCCTAGCTGCCTCCTTCGGTATATGAGAATGTATAAAATTGTCCGTAATAGCCTTTTCACATTTTAGTCCAATTTGTAACAAGGCTTGCCAACTATAGATGCTCCTTGCCCCACAGGATTCAATCAAGGAAAGGATCTAAAACACACACAGAACCATACACACCATACACTGAAAGAAGGAGTGGTTAGCTGCAGCATCCATGTGCGCAGCCATCTTGAAAACCGTAATATTTGCAATAAAAAGATTAGTCAAGTAAGTTTGTACATTTATGTATTTTATTTCTTTATTTTTAAAAAAGAACACTTGCTCTCACCAGAGCAGCATAACTATTTTCCATACTGCTAATTTTTTTTTGCAAGGGGGGGGGGGAGAAGAAAAGGTTAAAATACAATTTTAAATGCAAATATTATGTTAAAAAACATCCTAATGCATTAAGAAAATACAAAACTAAATCAGAATTTATTCACAATAATAATCAGCATGGATTGATGTCATGAGGAAGAGGTGCAATGTTATGTAATAAATAAAGCCATTATTTTATGCCAAGGTAACTCAAGTTTGACATTGTTAAACTGCTTCTAGCAACTATCATTATTTTAGATGAAGCAGATTTAATCTACATATGCAGTTTTCTTCATAGAATCTTATACCTATTCTTTTCAAGGAGAAGGAACAATGGCTTTGAAAATTCCTTGCATACAAGATGAGTATCTGTCTTCAGACTCCTTGTTTGGTTTCAGAGATTCTATCAGCTCTATGTATGTATCTTTGATTTAAGACACAAGATCTGTAACCTTAAAAAACAACAACCCAAAAACTTCACACCACATTCCTGAGGGAATGATGTCTGTGCCTCATCTGCAAGACTTTTCATTGTGTACAGTGCAAATGTGAACAAATGCACACTGAAGTGGTGGGGTATTCACCCTGGAAAAATATTAGTTGCCTATTAGGTCACGTTATATGCATTTAAAATATTAAGGCAGCAAGTCTAAGAAAAGTTCCCCATTTTGAAACTTACTGTAGACTAATAAAACTTGCCTGGCGTCTCCAGTATAAAATAGATTAATTACTCAGCATGATTTAAAATAATATGTGCACTGACCATCTCGCTTGGAGAAATGGCACCAGTTTTAAACTAGGTCAATTTTATGGCAATATTTGAGAGTCAGTCTCCTGAGCTGAAACCCATTTTTTTTGGCCACGGGGTGGAAGTTCAAGACTCCCAAAAGGAATTCATTCCTATCTTCTCCTTAAACTGTACCAGAAGATGAAAAGGGACTTAAATCAATATGCTTGTGATCTGCAGGCCATAAGCTGCCCATTCTTGAGACAGGTAGGTCTTTGAAATGACACATGGACTGTTTGTGCAGACTCCCAAAGCAGCCAGCTAGGTTTCAGCCTAGAGTGTTGTGTGAACCAGTCTATACAGTTAGTGTATGTTTAAGTAGGTCATGCAAATGCAGAACATTAGGCAAATTGAATAAACTGTGGTTGGGTAATTATGGGTAAGTCTGCCATGCAACCACAACCTTTTCTGTAGAGATTCTCAATCACCTGGATCATAGTTGTCTCAAAGGTGCTTTTACAAAGGCAAACATTTTGGGACAAGAAGCTTTTCTTGGATGAAAAGCGAAATGTTTTCTTCTTCCTCAAGGAAACAACAATCCAGGTGCCTTTTAAAAAAGCATCTTTGGAGTCACTGGGAGGACTTAATTTAGAGTCTCTCTCTCTCTGTATCTCTCTCTGTGTGTGTGGTGTTTAAGGGAGCCATGGTTTAGCATATATGAATTCCATCAATGAAACAACTCATTAGAGATGATTAACACATTCTGGTGAGAATTAATCAGATAAATGTTCTGCCAATGGACATCTGGATCAACATATAACTATCTCTTGGATTTGCACTCGTTCAAATTTTGCAATGCATTTCTCAATTCCAAAATCATTCTAAAACATTTATCAATAAAATGCTCCAACAGGATAATTAAAATGACAGTGCAAACCATATTAATAGTAAGAAATAGCGCGTTTTGCTCTGATGTTAAAAACACAAGTGGAATGGAATTCAATTCAATTATCTGCTTATTTGTACCTCTTATCAGAGGGAAGGGCACTTTTTAGACTTGGATCTATTCTGCTTTTTCTCTATCAACCAACTGAAGTCAGGTATATGCTAAAAATTAAAGAAGGATCAAGGATTAACATTTGAGTTTAAAGGCCTCTCACATAACCCCATCTTTCATAATCTCAGTAGTATAATTTAGAGTTAGAGGAGGCATTGTGTAGCTGCTATTGTTAAATAACTGGGAGTCAAAAATCCTTATTGATCATCTTCTAACCATTCTGATATCTGCCTATAAATCTTGGTCTCCCTGGATCTGCTTTTGATATTCCTGTGTGACCTGTTAGTAGCCACAATAGTCAGTGACATATCCCAGTGACTGCAATACTCATTTCTGTGGCAAAATCAGCCTGGAAATCTGTACTTTGGAGGAGAAAACAGAGTCCCAGAATCCAGCAATCATGGACAAGTCTCACTGATTTTCTGTCATTCTACCATCTACTGTCCTGCCAGCAACTTCAGAAAGAGCCAAGAGAGGACAAAGCTCAGAAAGAAAAGAGGTTTTCCTACACATTTAAAGGAGCAGAAAAGGCAACTTAAGGCTCTTTGAAGAGAAGAGGCACTGGAGAAGATCTGCTACGTACAGGCAGCTGCGTCAGGAGCAGCATACAGCAGTGTAGTCCATCAACTTGGCAGACTGTAGTTGAGATATTTTCAAATTGTGTCCCAGTTGCTTACAAATGCTCACTGAGGAGAGAGACAAAAGTTACCCACAACATGCTCAGTTGTCTGTTTATGACAAGACATTTGGTGCCTTGGAAATGACAACATTAAACAACTCTTAAAACCAAGGCAACCCTCATTTTATTTCCAATATGCAGCTAGCTTTGTTTTCAGTTCGCACACCAAACTAGCAAATGAACTTCAATGACTAAAAATAAATTTGCTTTAGAGTCGCCATGTCCAACCTATGGCCCGCAGACTGCATGTGGCCCTGGACAGCTAGTAATGCGGCTCTGTAAGATCATATAAAATATTTTTAAAATGTTATTTACATACGTTAACTATATCATATATTTTATATGCAACCCAAGACAATTCCTCTTCACTCAATGCAGCCTAGGCAAGCCAAAAGATCCATGCTTTATAGAGCAGTGTTTCTCAACCTTGGCAACTTGATAGTGGGTGGGCTTCAACTCCCAGAATACCCCAGCCAGCTATGCTGGGAGTCCATCCATTGACAAGTTGCCAAGGTTGAGAAACGCTGCTCTGTAAAGCATGGATTTCGAGTGCGTGTGTAAAGGAACACCCTATATTCTGGATTTACATCTTTCCCTTACACCAAGAGCGCATGGCTGAAGAGAAACCTACAGTGTAACCTACCTGCTTTGTGGGCAAAAGATCTCAGGCTCCTTTAAGGAGACAGGAAGAAATGATGGGAAAGACCTAGTGCTTTCCAAACCCTGGACAAGCAGATAATTCAAGGCAGAGATGTGTAGTGTTTGGATCTGAAGTAGGCAGGCCTTCCTGGCAAACATTCTCACCTCTCTGGGTATCAGCCTCATAGCCGGCTTCTACACCAGGGGTGTCAAACTGGATTTCTTCGAGGGCTGGATCAGCATTGAAGTTCTCTGCGGGCCGGGTGGAGGAGACGGGACAGACGCCTCCTGCAACACCCTGCTGGCCAAAAGAGGCACGGGGGGCACGCAACTGCCAGAATCCTGACACCCTGTTTTTGGCCTGCCGGCCAAAATGGGGCACAGGGGGGGGCCACACGTGCCCCCTCCCCCGCACTGTGTTTTCAGCCTCCTACATCACTTTGCTGACCAAAATGGAGGCATCAGAAGCAAAGTGTGGACTGGTCCTTTGCTATTTCTAAGCTGGCCGCACGGGCCAGATTTAAGCATCCCATGGACAGGATCCAGCCCACGGGCCTTGAGCTTGACGCCCTTGTTCTATACCATCTCTGCTTACAGGTAATCCTTGACTTACAATTGGTCAATGTGACCGTTCCAACAGACCTCCCAAAGGGTATTTACAAACTAGTCCCAAAGTTGTGATGGTTTCCACACACCCCCAAGCCCCCCCCGCCCAGTCTTTTCACATTTTGGGTAGTCAGTAACTGGCCTGCATTTATGGCCTTTTGCAACCTCCTGGAGTCATATGACTGCAGTTTACATTTTTGCAGTAAAACTCGTGTTTACTTGCAGTTTTGGGCAAACGTGTCCCATAGCGAACAATAAATTCAATTAACAACTATAGTGTTCGCTTAATGAGTGCAGATTCACTTAATGATGAGTCATCAAAAAAGGAGGGGGAAAGGTAAAATTGGATCGGTCACATGATTATGACTGTTGTTATGGTCATAAGTTAAGGAGTCCCTCTGTTGCAGAAGTACAGGTTCATACTTACTTGGCGACACGGGACAAAATCTCCTTGACTCGGACAACCAGCCTTTCATGTTGTATAGGATTGCTCTCAATGGTGCTGTGAAGCTTTGCCATGTAGAAATCAAGTGTGTTCAGTGTGGGGGTCTCACCGGTGCCTGTTGGAAAGAATCCCATTAACTACTTGAGCACCAATTAGCATCCTTGCTTAATTAACATTGTGTAGGCTACTCTGAAGGTAGCAGAGAACCAAAGCTCACCCTCTTGAATCCTGGAAACCTTATCTGGACATAACCTTTAAGACAACCAAGAGTTAAACACTTGCATTTTTAACACAGTAAATAACATGCTGTTCAGAATGTTTTCTCAACAACATATCTTGTATTCCTGCTGCATGGTTATAGAACACACTGACCTGATTCAGAGTGATGACAATGCATAAATTTGCCCCCGCCCCCCCCCCAATTTTTCACTTTAGATCTAAAATGTATAGCTGGAATGTAACTGGAAGAAATTAAGAAGTTTTCCAGTCAAGCTTATATCCCAGAAACGTTTGTAGCAGCCATTGAAACCTGGTTTGCTTCTGGTGCTGGCATCTCTTCCCCCCTTTCTGACTTCCTATTGCCTTTTTTCAGTAGCCCTCAGCTTTCATCCATTTATTCAGTGATTGGTCGAAGTTCAGCAGCACTGAAAAAGCAGACATTATGACTGATGTCTCATTAATGTTTCAGCTGTCACAGCAACCCTGCAGCCATGTGACTGTTATCTCGGCACGCAGGTGCCTGGCTTGCAATTATAACCTCACAGGGAGCTGCTGCGGTCACATTATTATGATTTGCAGTTTTCTTCTGATGGCTTCCCACCAGCAACCGCAATTGGGAAGCCAGCAGGGAAGGTTGCAAATTGCTCTTAGTACAGGAGTCCCCAACCTCTGGTCTGTGGACTGGCACTGGTCCTTGGCATGCCAGCAACTGGGCCACACAAACAAGCTAATCCTCATCCGTGGGATGCAGGCAACGTGTGAAACCACGCATCCCTCCAGTCCACGGAAAAACCTCTCTTCACAGAACCAGTCCCTGTGCCTGAAAGGTTGGAGGCCATTGCTCTAGTAAGTCGCTCCTGTTTTTTCTCCATCCGCAGCACAATAGCATTCATTTATTCTTTGATCTACAGCCCAAACAGAGTGGTAGCTCGGTACTCATCGTTAATTGGTTCTGGGAGGTGCAATGAATACAAAAAATGATGAGTATCGAACAATTTTTCCCCATAAGGAATAATAGTAGTGAGTCACAAGGTAGCCGACACCAACGTGTTCTAGCTTGTGCCAAACAAACTGCGATGACCCAGGGTGTGGCACAAAGGCAGCACAGTCAAATCAGCAGTAAGAGTCCCTTTATTATATCCAACTTTGCCTCCAATATCCAGGTTACCTTCGGCTGGAGAAAAACTCTCCCAGGAACAGTCTTTAACTGTAGAAAATTCAGTCCAAAACAAGATACATACAAACTGTAACTAAAAATCCAAACAAACCAAGCTGAAGTAATTAGCTTGACAGGGATAGATAAGCCACAACAATACAAGATAAATTCATGTTTGCTCCCAACAGCTTGCTGCGTGCAGCTTCCTTTTTTATACACTGTGTTCCCAGCTGCAGCTAATGAAGGGAATCAGGGCCCTTTCCTCCCCCGTAAGCCATGCAACTCACGTTGTTCCCTTCTCCGTTCCTCCCTGCGTGCCCTAGGATGAAGAGAGAGTGGGCCTGGGTCTTCCTCTGAATTCCCTCTCCCTTGTTCTACCTCTTCCCTGCTCTGCCCAGCCAGACTTTACCCTTCCACAGTTTCTTCCACAGCCAATGGAGCCACACTCACTCCCTGTCAATTGTTCGGCTTCCCCCTCAGAGTCAGATTCCGACAGGGGCATGACACAAACGATGAATCCCAGGACAAAATTTTCATGTCAAAATGCATCGAGTACCAAACTCAAATGAGTTTCAAAGCAATTGAGTACCAAGGTACCACTGGGTAAGGAATAGGCCTGTCTAAATCCAAACCCAAAGTGATTTTTCTTTCAGCAATAATCTTGGTGGAAGTCTCCAAATGGAGGCTGGGTGGCCATTGGTCAATTCCTCTATTGAAAAAGTGGGTGGACTAAATGAAATCAAAGATCTTTCCCAATGTTTCTAAACGTTTCTATGATGGAAGTGTTTTTCTATGCAGTCACAGACCTCCAGGAAAAACCCTGAAGAATTTGTCCAAACCTTCTGGTAAACCACCTTTACACTCTTGCCTTTTTAACAAAGTGAAACTTGAGGTTGAGAATGGGGCAGTGTTTTGCTCGTGGCACTGTCATGATCAATGTACCCCCTAAAGACACATGACTGCTATACACAAATATTGCAAAGCATGCAAGACTTCCGTGTCTCCTAAGTTAGCAGGGGGGAAGCACCGTCAAACTAACACTCTCCAGTACCTGGAATGGGAAGGCTGGCAAAACTGGCTGTCAGAGCTTGGCGCACCATCTGGAGCTGTTGCTGCAACGCCATTGTCTGCCTCTCCTCCAGTGCAAGCTCCTGCTCTAGGCGCTCCTTGGCGCAGCTCATGCTCTCTGTGTGCTTCTGCAGGATGGCATTCTGCTCCTCGAACTCTGTGTTCATCTTACGTAGTCTCCGCAGCTCTGCTTCCCTGGCTGCTCCAGCAAAGAGAAAGGGAAAACAGAAGGACCGGAATTAAAAAGAAAAATGAAAAATCATGGATCACAATCCTGCTTCTTCAACCTGTGTTTCCAGTCCATGATAAAAATAGGCAATTGCTTGCTATAACCTTCTCCAATTTGACACCTTTGAGATGTGTTAAGTTACAGCTCTCAGAATTCCCAGACTTTGACCGTGCTGGTTGGGAATTTTTAGAGGCACCAGAGAGAAATTGGTTTTCTGGACAGTCTGTTTGTCTTCCATAATGTCCCAGAAAAAAGGAGATTCAGCTCTAATAGACTTGAATGAATGTCGCCAGTTGGGTTCATTTATGTAATTTGAACTCTGCACTGTTTGTCTTACACTATAATTCCTAGAGAAATTATTCTGGAAAGTTTAGTATCTAATGAGAAATCACAATTGGGATACCAAGGAAAGATCTCCCAGGTGTTTTATGAAGAGAGCCAAAACAAAAAGTGAGCTGGTTCAGACATTGCACAAAGCCAACATGTTAGGAATGATAGTCACTTAACAGTTGGGTTGGCAATATATAAACCAGGATAGTCATTTAATCTGTTGTATCTTTAAGAGAATGCTGTAACTGTGATTGGCTAAGGTTCCTCCAACGACCATAAGATGGAGCCAGAAACCTGGTTTGTCCTTTTTTTGCATTTCCTTTGCTTCCTCTTTGCCTTTTGCCTGATCGTCATTCTGCTTGAATTGCTGTGAGTCTTGCAACTGTTCTCAAACTCCGTTTACTGAACTTTGTTTATGATACTGGTAAAGAAAAGAACTTTGTTTTTGGATTATTGTTAGGACTGATTGTTTTGAATAGTAACTGCTTTAACCATGTATGATTTGGACTGTTTGTTGGACTTTGTTTACCCGTTTACTGGAAGAAAAACTTACATTTTACTATTCAGTGTATCTGTGTGCTGGTTGTGTGTTATTCATCACCATTCTCACTATGTTTCCCTGAGTGTATTCATTCTGTATTCAAACTGTTGTTAACTGAAGAATAAAAACTGTTAATCTAGTCATTTGCTTTAGAATAAATGTCTGTGGAGTTTCTCAGTCATCCAGGTCATGGTTGTCCCAAAGGTACTTTTTCAAGAGGCAGCTGGATTTCCTTTCCTTTCCTTTCCTTTCCTTTCCTTTCCTTTCCTTTCCTTTCCTTTCCTTTCCTTTCCTTTCCTT